ACACTTCTTATCATTCTTCACTTTCATTTCATACATTTTGTTTCCATTTTTTATCATATCTGGTGTTAACCCTTGCAGATATAACGTTTTGAAGAGGAGGACCATATCAAACCTTCCTCCAAAATGTGAGAAGGCTACTGTATCAGTAGAAGAATTGGTAATCCAGGCCACAAAATCGGTCAGAGGATCATTGGTAATATTTTGTTGATCCACTGATGTATTGGAGAAGGGTTGATGGGAGAATGTAATTGTTCTGTCATCTCCACAAATAGTGCAATTGTTGTTCAATCCATTAATGCATTCAGGACAGTTGATTTTTGCTGCTATAAAATTCACCTCATGTAGTTTTCCCTTTTCTACTTGGTTGTGTTGAGTAGTCTCGAAATCAAAGGCAATAAATCGATATGGTTTTGTCTTCCTCGGAGTAAGAGGTTTAATGTAACAACCTCTCTTTGGGTCATGGAAGCTGAAGCATGTGTTACAATATCGTTCGGAACAAACATGTCCAGTACGTCCATCTCTGTTATTAAGTTTAGAACTCCAAATAACCCCACATTTCTCACATTTTTTGGAGTTGTTGCAAAAGTGAGATGTAAGGTGATGGTCGTAGCATTCCCCATTGTTGAATTCTTTATCACAACCAGAACATTTCTTGAAATAGTTGTTAATCTGCTGACAAGGGTAGTTGGGACCTATCCTGGAGCAATTGGGACATCGTGCTGTGCATGTAGTCGCATGATTCTGTGTTCTGTTGTACACTTTTTCACAGGCAAGGCAATAAGGCTTACCGAATAAATCACATGCCTTTCTTACTCCATCAAAATGTTTATTATTGTAATAAAGAATAATTGGAATTGTGTAATCTTCAGCCCCGTATTTAAAAATAGGCTTCTCACCCAATTTTCCAAAAATAAAAACTTTAAACAGGCCTTGATTCCTTGAATTCCAATAATCAACAACCTTTGGTACCCATTCATTTGCATCATAATTAGCCTGATCAGGTGGAGCTCCTACATTTTCCATCAAGTATGTTGTATCATGTTCCAAACGTTTCTTCATTCCTAATCTGCTATGCATATAGTCATAGAACTTCCATTTCGGCCACGAGAATGTTGAAAATATAAATGGACAGACAATGATCGAAATAAACAGTAGTTGTCTGAATTAATAATTTTAATGAGGTTGTGGTCTTTAACTTTATGTCGAATTGTTGGTGAATTTTTGCCACTACCATTAATAGAACGTGTTGTAGGCAGATGTTTTTTGTCAATAGCTGTAACAGAAACGGTAAATGGTTCACCCCATAACATTCCCTGATCCTGTTTTTTAGATTGGGCGACTTTTAGGAATTGGTTAAGAATTGAATCCACCGTGTTGGGAGTAATTTCACGTATGGGGATCCAAATATCTGATTCTAACAATTGACTGCTCACGGTACATCCAAGTTGATCAGGTTCAAGTTGGTGATCATGACTCGTTTCTAGGGTCTGGTCAATACATTTTTGAAAAATTTCCCTTAGTAAGCCCTCTGGTTCATCGGGTAAGCCATTTATTAAAAATCTGGTTGAAATTTTAGTTAGATTAAATTTTCTATTGATCTTAATTTCTTCCCCTAAATGTTTTAAAAAATCACCTCCGCCAGATTGTAAATCAAGTAAATTGTTGATCAAGAACATCCTTGATTTCTTCGAAGGTGGAGGAGGCATTGTTAATAATATTAATAATGAAAATAATTAGGGTTAAATAAAAATAAATCTAAGAATTTAGGAGTAATTCAAAAGTAGTAAATCTACAAGAAGAATTCAAAGAATGAGATAGGAAATGCAAATCCTTAACTTTTAAGGAAAATATTCCCTAGAATAATTGATGTGTTGTAGAATAAGAATTTAAAGAAATTCTATTTCGTAGTACCTTTTTATTAACAGCGGGAAAAAGTCTAAAATTTTTGAATAAAAGGAAAAGAATTTAAAGAAAATAAAGAGAGAGCGAACGTTTCTTAATACATACTTTTGTTGTTATTCACTTGGGATGTTGTCAAAGGAAAGAGAAATTCCTATATAAAACAATTTTTTCTTTTATTTCCAGTTAAGAAGAGGAATTTTTATTTTAAGAAGAGGAATTAAATTTGGCATAATTTGACTAGTTAGGAAATGTTTTAAATTTTAAATAATATTTCGATAAAGAAAATTAGCATAATATCTGGTAAAGAAAAATTTTAAGGAATATAATTTGCAATTTGTGAACGATGAGACGATGTTGTTTGTAGAGTTATTTTTTAAACTCTTAATTTTTTAATTATTAGTGGGTTAATTAATAGAGAGAGAGTAATTATAAAACTTTATTTATTTTCATTTATTTATTTTTCCTATTACAGTAATATTATAATTATAGTTTTTATAATTATAGTTGTTTTTATAATTATAGCTATTTTTTACTTATTTTCACTTTTTTAACGTTATTTTTAACTACTTTTTAAAAATTTACTTAATTTTAACTTTTCAACAATAATTTACAAATTTTTCTCGTGCATGACCTATTTCTAACCAATTTTCACTTTTCAACAATAATTACGCAACATAATTATTGCATGACTTATTTTTACAATTTCTATTTCCACCGCCTACTTTTTAATAATTATTGTATTTTTTTAATTATAAAGGGTAAAAATAATAAAAGAAGATAGTGTACAGAAAAGAAATTTAAAAAAGGTTTAAGAAAAGTTTTAAGAAGAAAAAATATGACAAATCATGTTTGAACCGGTTTAAAACCAATTCTTGAACACTAGAACCTTTGGGAAACATTTTAAAATTTTAATTACACAATCTTATGAAAAATGTGGGAAATCGTGTTTTGAACCGGCTAAACCGGTTTAAAACTACTTCTTGAACATTTGAACCTTTGGAAGCCTTTTGAACCTTTTGACTCTGACGACTGAATGGATGTGTCTAAATGACCGTCTAAATAGTGGGAGGAGCTAAATGGTTGGACCCCGCTGCCCCCAACGACTTATACGTTGGTTTAACTACTTTACTAAATTTTTAAAAATTGATTTAAGAAAATATAACTTACTGAGGGCATTGCGCATTCCTTTAACAAGATGAGGAGAAAAACCAACAAAAATCAAGACAATAAATGTCTTGGAAAATGTATCAAAACACATTTTAGTAAAGAATTTTGTTCGAATTTTTTTTTAATTTTCTGAAATTTTAAGAAATTTTGTAATTATGCTTGCCTATTCTGCCTTTTTTCGAATTTACTTTTTAGTGCCTAAAAATCCTAGCCCTAATAATAAGTTGAATTATTTATTGGCTATCGATTCCCCCAAGCTTTTCCTATACATATTCCCTTTTTGGGGAAGTAATTTTTAGACAATGCCTATTGTTAAAATACAAAATAAAATGCGTGGGTTGGCCTAAGACTTGGCTATAAGGCATTAATAGAGTCTGCCAAGCCTGTGAATAAGAAAATAGTATAGAAAATTTGGGGAAAAAATTTTTTATATGCCACGTTCACATAAAAGCGTCTTGCGTTTTGCGGCAAAAGATAATAGCATTCAAAAGAAGGAGAGACAAAATCGCGTCCTTCATTCCCAATCAGGGATGTCCGCAAATGAAAAAAAATTTTCAGCAGCCGCAGTCCGCAATTTTAATTTTAAAATCCGCAGCCGCAATGCGCAGTCCGCAAGTCAAAAAACACGCAGTCCGCAATCTGGGGATATAAGGCTGTAAGACATTAATGCTGTATGACATTAATGGAGGTCTGTCAAGCCTGTGGATTATAATAAATAAGAAAATAGGTAGTATAGAAAATTTGAAGAAAAATTTTTTTAACTTAGTTGCCTTTATTATACACTCCGTCCCAAATGTATGAGTTCAACCCGAATTTTCATCATAATACTATGTATATGAAGCTTGCAGATACTTGTGTGTACAACTTTTTTTGCGCAACTTTTTTGCGGACACAATTGTACGGAATGGCAAGTTTTCTCCCTCCCTCCCTCCTATGCACTTGGTAACCAATCAAACAAGTTTAACAAAAAATGGAGCAAATCCAGCAAAAATGAAGACAATATCTCCGAAAGTATTCAAAAACATTTGAGCAAAGAGTTTTGTTCGAATTTTTTGAATAAAACTTTTTTTATTTTTTATAAATAGGCAATCTAATCAATTTAATTTTAATAGTAGAGTGGAGATGATTCTTTAAAAATAAAATTAAAAAAAAATTTTTTTAATGAAGGAATCCCTTCCTTTTAATGGAAAGTAAGATGGGTGGAGAATTTGCTATATACCCCAGGATGGCATTTCATAGATGCGCGCAATCGCTACATAAATTTACATTGCAAAAGAAAAGCTAATAGAGGGAAAAAAAATTTTTTAGAGAAGAATCTTTTCCAGATGTTTGGTGTCCCCGACATTTTTCTTTTCTTTCCTTCTTTTCCTTTTTAAAATGGTATGAGGCAAATAATGGTCAAAAAAATGTATGATGATAAGTACCCAGCTCTGCATCTTAGAACCTACGATCCGGTATTATGCGCCCATAACCAGAGCTGGTCGCAATTGGAAAAAAATTTCCGCAGTCGCAATCCGCAATTTTTATTTTAAAATCCGCAAACGCAATCCGCAAGTCAAAAAAACGCAATTTCACATAATCCGCAATTGCGTCCAGCCCTGACCACAACTCTAAGTGAGCAGAAAAGCTGTGAACATTATGAGTTCTCTTTTCTATCCAGAAAAAAGCTACAAATAGAAGGAACTTGCAATTAACGTTCCACAGTTGAAATTATTTTTCGTTCGAATTCGCGGCAAAATGTCCGTGACTAATTTTCGAATTGGTAAATTTTAAATTTCAAAAAGTCGAAAATTACAAAATGTCAAAATTTCAAAATGCCAACGACAAAATGCCACTAAACGAAAAAAGAGAAAAATGGTCACACCAAAATATTTTGCAGTTCTCTATGACAATCAATTTGAGTAAAAGGGTGGATGAGTGTTTTTGAGGAATTTATTGCATCATCCAAAAATATCAGTCATACTTTTACTTCAACTTTTTCTCACTTTTCGGAAGCCTTTTTCACTCAAAAATTCATTTTAAAAAATTTTTAAAAATGTTCAGATTTATGCAAATATTGCGAAGAGCGACACTTTACACTTATCGCTTTTTAATAAATATTCCACGTTTATTTTATTTTAAACCGTCATATCCTTCATTGAATTTAATTGAAAAATCTGGAAATTGTGGTGGGTTTTTTGTTAATTTTTAATAAATTTAGAAGAGTATCGGTAGGGCCCTTAGCAGGAGAAATAGGTAGGTCAATGGGTCAGAGATGACCTGATGATCGATTGACCAGGTCACCTCTAACCCTCAAAGGCCTGCTTACTAGTGTTTCACCGGAACCGATATTTTGACCGGGACCGGATCCAATTTGAGTTCCCGGAACTAAAAAAATATTGGAACTTTCCGTAACCGGATCCGGAACTTCCGGTGAAACTCTAATGCTTACCCTTCTGACTTTCTTATGCTATCGGTAAAATTGCCCTGCGTTGTAGTTATTAAACCAGTTCGTTCTAAGGTCCAAAAATTCGGTTTTCGGAGGTTTATTGCGTCATCGCTTTTTTTCCTTGTTTTTCCTTACTAATTGTGAAATGGGCAACAAAAGAAAATTTGTGGAACAATTACATGATGAAATTTTGTTTCATTTTAAAATGTCAATGACAAAGGAGAAAATCGATTTTTAAATTTTGGAAAAATTTAAAAAAGGAATATTATTATTTTGTCTAGTTAAGCTAAGTCCTTTTAAGCAAGAAAAGTGAGGTAGAAAGCGAGGTGTTCCCTGAAAGTGCCAAAAAAATTTCTTTAAAAAATTTTTTTATTTTTTAGCAATGCAAGCCAACTGGACTCCATATAAAGGCAACAATGTCGAGCCTCGTCTGCATTTATTAAACAGTCTGACTCGAACAAAAGAACCTTTTGAACCTATTTCTGGAAAACAAGTTTTCTTTAATTTTTTTAAAATTTTCTAAAAATTTTTCAAGGTGAAATTCTACATTTGCGGACCTACAGTTTACGATTCTGCACATATGGGACATGCTAGAGCCTATTTATCCTTTGACATTGTAAGGAGAGTGCTTGTAGATTACTTCAATTATGACGTTCTTTATGTGATGAATATTACTGATATTGATGATAAAATAATTAAGAGGTTTTTTTGAGTTTTTTGTAGGAGGGGGGGGGGGTGATTAAGTTTAGGAATTTTGTTTTTCTCCAAGAATCATTTCACTCAAAAAATTTAGTAAATAGGGAGGGTTGGGTTGAAAAAAAAATTCAGGTTTGCTCAGATTGTGTTTTAAATTTCTTTCGGATCGGGGTTTATGTAGAAGAAAAGTCCGTGTTAAGATGACCCAGATTGAATTTCGAGTTGAGTAAAAATTTTATTTTAGGTAAGCCATCCTTGCTAGACGCCTCCCAAACATCCATATCCACTTTGGAGACTTTATAGCCGTGGGGTTTTTTTGGTGAAATTAGTGTTTAACCCTTTAAACCCCCAAAAAACAAATTTTTAACTTAATTTTAAAAATCTACCCCAAACGAGATTGACCCAAATTCAACAAAAATTTATATTTTTCAGGGCCAGACAAAAATATTTGTTCGACAACTATTTAAATGAAGTGTCTACATCGAACGGAATTGGAAATCAACTAAAAGAAGCTTTAGACTATTTTAGAAACAAAATATCCAATGAACTCGATGTTGATAAAAAGAATATGTACACAAACATGGTTACTTTTTATTTTTTCTTAAAATCCATTTTTCGAATAAGGAGTGTAATAGGGTGGGGCTAGGGTAGTCAAAATATCAAATGACCGTGTTGGTGTAGTTGGAAAGTGTTTGGTTTACGTTTTGAGGGGGTCACGGGTTCGAGTCCGTTCGAGGAAATTTTATTTTTTCTTGAAAGAAAAAATTTTTTTATAAATTTAAAAAGAAGATTTAAGGGTTTTTCTTAAAATTGGTTTTCCGATTAAGGAGTTTAGTAGGGAAGTGTTAGGGAACCTAAAATATCAAATGACTGTGTTGGTGTAGTTGGAAAGTGGTTGGTTTTATGTTTTTGGGGGATCGTGGGTTCGAGTCCGCCCGAGGAAATTTTATTTTTTTCTGGCGGGAAAAAATATTTTTTATAAATTTAAAAAGAAGATTGAAGGGTTTAAACACGAAAAATAATTTTCACTTTATTTTTAGGCTGATAAATTCGCCACAGATTTGGCTACTTTCGAAGCAAAATCTTTGGGAATCTCTAACGCGGGAAACATTGAAGAAAGCCTTGGATTAGTCAAGCAACTTTTGGAATCGTCGAAAGATGTAATTTCCGACTGGTTGGATTCAACAAGTGGGCATACAGTTGACGACCATGGAGTGTTTACTAGACTGGCTAGAAAGTTTGTTTTTAGAGTGTTTTTTGTTGAGGGGGTGAATCAGGCCCGTAGCCAGGATTTTTTTCGGGGGGGGGGGGGCAAGGGGTGAACGCCAAGGCTCCAAAAATTTTTATTTTCGGCGCCGCAGGCGAAAAAAAATCACTTTTTTTGTCCCAGCCCTTTCCCAAATTTTCTACCCCCCTACCCCCCTGGCTACGGGCCTTGGATGAACGTCCGCATAAAACTGTCTGCAAATTAAGTTTATTACAATTTTCTCAAGAGACGGAATAATTTTTCATAAATTGGGTTAAATTTATATTTTGCGGCCATTTATTATGTTTTGTCGTCTTTTTCCTCATTTTGCGGACAATTTCCATATTTGCGGATTTTTTTTCGAATTTTGCGGACAGTTTCCATATTTGCGGATTTTTTCGAATTTTGCGGACGTTTTTATATTTTCCGGGAATATTCACCATATTTTTTTATATATTTTTAAAAATTTTATTAGATATGAGAATGAATTCCTTCAAGAGATGTCTTCTTTAAATGTCCTAGAACCAGATGTTCTTACTCGAGTTAGTGAATATATTCCAGAAATTATTGATTATGTAAATAAAATTATTGAAAATGGTTATGCTTATGTTTTGGATGGATCGGTATATTTTTAAATTAATTTTTTGGGAATTTTTGTGAGGTTTTCTTGTGAGGTTTTTTGGTTTATTTTAAATCAAGGTTTTGGCAAGTCACTTGTAAAAAGGGAAGGCTCTCAATTTGGGACAGCTTTTTTGCGGATTTATTTCCTCTTCTTTCGCCTTTCGCACTTTTTTAAAATCCCTTTTAATTGTTTGAGAGCCCCAGACAAACCAATATCATTAGGAAAGAATTGCAATCGCTTCCTGTCTTTACTGCCAAAATTTTTAATACTATAGCTTGAGGGATTGTGGGAGCCGTTCTCTGGGAACAACCTTTAATCGGTGTCGGACATATCGGGATTGGGTTACAAAAATAATTTCTTGCGTGTTTACTTTTGTTCTAAAACATAAAAACTCTATTCCCAATAGGACAATATACTATACAAGACCTAGTGGCCATAAGTCCCAAAATCAGTCGGGTAACTGTTCTTACAATGAAATGTCCTGATATGTCCGCGTGTCCTTTAATCTTTAAAAAAGAAAAATTAGTTTTTTAGGTTTATTTCAATACAAAAGCCTTTTCCTGCTCTCCAAACCACAATTATGCCAAACTATTGCCTGAAGCATACAAAGATGAGGGATGTATAGAAAAACATTTACGTGAAGGAGAAGGAGAATTGTCGGTCTGCAATAATATTCAAAATGTTGAAAAAATTTCAAAATGCGATTTTGCTTTGTGGAAGGCTTCAAAAAATGGAGAACCTTTTTGGGAAAGTCCTTGGGGGAAAGGTTTTTTATTTTTAATTTTTTTAAATTAATAAAATATTTAAAAGGTCGCCCAGGTTGGCATATTGAATGTTCAGCAATGAGTATGTCTGTATGTGGATCAAAGTTGGATATTCATGCTGGGGGATTTGACTTGAAATTCCCACATCATGATAATGAAATTGCACAGGTTTTCTTTTAAATTATTTTTGGTCATTTTTAATTTTATTTAAGTCAATTTTAGGGTTGTCGGTTCTTGGGAAATTTTCGAATATTCAAACCGAAGAATCGAACCATAAAAACTTCTGTTCCGAACACACAACCCTATACAATATATTCGATAATATCTTTTTATTAGTCAATTAGTAGAAGTGTTTTTAGTTCTGTTTTCTACTTTTTTGTGAGAAAAATTTTTTTAGAATTTTGAAAATGAACCCCTTTTAGACAATCTAAAGCCCATTTTTTTTATCTATTAGATTTTTTGTTGACTATGACTATCGTGACAGGATTTTCTACCCATTTTTACTCAAAAAATACGGATCGGCCTTCCTAATCAAATTTTTCAGTGTCTATTTATCCGCCTGTCCTCCTACTCAAGTTCTAGATAAATTTACTGATTTTTTAGTGTGAAGCATATTCTGACTGTGATCATTGGGTCAACTTTTTCTTGCATTGTGGAACACTTAGAATTGCTGGATTAAAAATGTCAAAAAGTTTAAAGAATTTTATAACGATTAAAGATGCTTTACAAAAATACACTGCTAGGCAATTAAGAATTTTGTTTTTAATGCATATTTGGTCTGATAATTTGGATTACAGGTTTTTTGAAATTTTTTAAAATTAAATTTTGATATTTTTTAAGTGATGCTACAATGGACCATGTGTTACACTTTGAAAAGCTTTGCTGTGAATTCTTTTTGAATATTAAAGATATTATAAGAAAACAGACGAAGGAAAGTGGAGAAATTAATGAGGTTATTTTCTTAAATTTTTAAGTGGGGAAAATAATTTTAAAAAATTTTCTTTGGTCCTCTAACTAATATTTTTTAATTTAATGGAAAATATATCATTCTAGAAGTTCTATAAAATTATTTCCCACTGAGCGGATCCGAACCCCGACCACTTTTTGCCTCGAAACATAAAGTTTTTACCACTAAACCAAAATTATCATAACTTTTCTAATTTATTCAAAATAACTTCCAAATACTAATTTACCTGGAAAAAAATATTTTTAGACCCCTTAAACAAGGAATTCAAAATTTTAATAAAAAAATATACCGTATTGGTGGCTTTTTTAAAAATATTTCCCCTGAGAGGATTCGAACCTTCGCAATTTTCTCCTTTAAAAATTTATTTATCCCACTAAACCAAAATTTCCATTTTCCCCAAAATAGTCGTTTATTTAAAAAATCCATTTTTAGTGCTTCAAAAAATTCGATCAACGTGATATTGAAGTATTCAACAATTTTACTTTGCTCCAATCAGAAATACATTTAGCTTTGTGTGATTCAATCGATACAAGAACTGTTTTGGAAAAAATTCGTTCAATAATTTCTTTAATAAATTTGTATTTAATTGAAAAACAAGAAGCAAAACCAAATTGCAATTTATTGGCAAATTGTGCAAATTATGTAATTAAATTGATGAAAATACTTGGAGCTGATACTGGATTTAAAGAATTTAATTTTCGACAAGAGTAAATTTTTGAATTTTTTTGGGGGAAAGAAAAAAATATTCTTTTAAGATCATCAGAAAATCATTGTGTGGATAAAGAAGCAATATTAATGCCATATTTGGAGGCACTAGCCAATTTTCGGGAGGTTGTTAGAAGTGAAGCTAGGACGTCGAAAAATATTAATATTTTAAAGGTTTATTTTTTTATTAGGGAAAATTCTGTTCCGAAAAATCCCAAAAAAATTCGAGGTCGAGGTGGGTCTAGATTGATTTTTGAGCTAGTTGGTTTTGTCAGGGTCTGGCTTTTTGTCTGGTTTTCTAAAAATAATTTCAGGAATCCAAAATTGTTTCAAATATTTTAGAATATTTTTTGTTTTGAAGAAGACCTGATCCAGAACCTAGACATTTCTCTCTTGGGTTTTTCTGGGCTCTATGCCCATGATCTTATCTTTAATACAGGCCCAAATTTTTAATTTTGGGCCTGAATTCCAACATCAAAATATAATTTATTCATCTTTAAGGAATGTGATCGTCTTCGAGATGAAATATTGCCCAATCTTGGTGTCAGACTTGAAGACCACACAAAAGATACTCGATTAAAATTAGTTGATCGAGAAACTTTAATGCGTGAAAAAGAGCAAAAAGAGGCTGAACTTCGAGAAAAAGAAGAAAAGAAGAGACTTTTGGAAAAGGAGAAGGAAGAGAAAAGAAAAATTAAGGAAGAAAAGAAGCAAAAACAAAGGGAAGCAGCTTCTAAAAATAAATCATAATAGAAAAAGGTTGACCAGAATTTTTAATTTAAATTAAGTCGGAACTCGCTATACCATGCTCTTTTTGGGATAAGGGATTTAATAAAAAATGAGGGATACTTTAAATAGAGGGGGGTTTATCGCTTCCTACCAGACATTATATCCCTTCCATATTCCGCTTTTAAAATTAGGGAGAACCCATCCCTGCTTCCAACCCAACTTACATTAATAGAAACCGTATTTTAAAGATCTATGGTATCACATAGGGTTTTTGACTTATTTTTAGCTATTCGTCTATATGTATGTTCATATTGTTAACTTATCACACAGATATTATTTGAGTATTTGTTAATGTTGTAATTTATACAATCGGATAGTATTTCAGAAAAATTTTTGTACACCAAAACAAACGAATTATTCGATTGTATTTTGTGTATTCCAGCTAAATTCCACATTATTTGTTTTTTTTAATTTAATTGGCAATCCCAGTTTTTATGGAATAAAAGCAGAGAATACTGAAAGAAGTTTTTGTTAATTGAATAATTTTTCAAAAAAATTTTTATTTCCAAAAATTTATCAAAATTTGTCCAACTTTAAAAACAGTCAAGGAAAAAAAAAACAAAACAATAACAAAACTAGCAAAGTGTTGGGAGAGTATAAGCAATTCAGGCACATAGCCAGGATAATTTTTTGGAGGGAAATTTTCCAGGAAAAATTTTTTCGAAAGAAATTCCCCTCTTGGCTATATGCCCTAAAGCAATTAAATTTTAATTAAACAAATTTTTAACCTTCACATTTTTTAAAAAATCCAAAATTCCTTTCCTCTTTTCAATTTGAAAGTCTCAACAATTTTAACTGAAAAAATTTAAAAAAATTTCAAAAAAAAAATTTAATTCCAAAAAAAAACCTCCAATTGCGCCCCTTTAATTTGATCACAACTTTCAGCAATAAATCCATCCTTATTTTGAAAATTACACTCTTCTAACTTTAACGGCGTCCCAGTACTTTGCTCAATATTTTTATAATTGTCATTGAGCGATTTTGCCAGTAAAGAATCTTTGGGTGTTACAAAACAATAAACTAGTGCTTTGTCTGTTTCTAATAATTTTCCCTTAAAATTGAAAAAAAAATTTCCAACTACAAGAAAAGTAATAACCTTTTTCCGCAACTTTTGTATTCTGTTTGCCACTTCTCTAGAAAGTCCCATTGCCAAAATATTTTCATCTTCACTTGTATTTATCATAACAACGCACTGAAAATTAATTGGAAATTTTTTAGAAAATTTCAGAGAAAAAAATTTTCAAAAAAAAATCATAAAAAAAATTCTCTTCTCAAAAACAAACCTTTCCTTTAGTTGCCGTTTCCCATTGATTATCACCCTCATTATCCTTCTCCTTATTTGTAGTAAATGAGACGGTCAATTCTTCACAAGACAATTCATGCCCCAAAACAACAATTTTTCCATCGTCCAAAAATGTTTCCAATTCGTCCTCCGATATTTTATTCTACACAGAAATTGAAAAATTTTAAAGATTTCATAAAAAAAAGTTTCAAAAAATTTTTCAAAACCCCCAAAAAAATTTTCTGAAAAAATTTTTTCGAACCCCCAAAAAATCAAAAAAAACCTTCAAATAATCCGTCACAGCTTTCTGATCTCCTTTTAAACGAGCACCAAGTAATCTAAAATTTGGCTCCGCTTTTAAATTAACACCATATTCTTGACGATTACTTGAAGTAGTTAATTTAATTACATTCATTTCGGAAAGTATATAATTCTCCAGAAGTTTTACGTCTTCGAGAAATTGAGAATCCCTTTTAAAAAATTATTTTTAGGCAAAAAATATTTTTAAAAAATTTATGGACTTAAAAATTTAAAAAAATCTATTAAAAATGTTTCCACAAAGCAAAGGATTCGAACCTTTCAAAATTTCTGTGGGTAAACCAAAACCTAACCCACTACACTAAAAGAGTCAACACAGTGGATCTTCAAGAAATTGAGAACCTTTGGGGTTATTCTGTTAATTTTTAGGATTTTTACAAATTTTTATTTCCTAGGTAATCCACTTAAAATTTTTATAAGCTTGCACCTCTAAAAACTCCTAGCCTTAATAATCCCTAATAATCCCGTAAAAAATACTTTTAAAAACTAAACCTGTTTACAACAATAACTTCTTTCAATGGATACTTTAAAAATATTTAAATTATTTTTTAAAAATTAAAAAGAAAAAAAAACCTTAACAGCAATAGCTTTTCTATCTCTCAACGTTCTTATAATTTCAATTATACTTCTCATTGCAGCCACTTGCCTTTCCAAATTTTCATCAATAAATTGGTCTTCAGGGATGGGTAGTTGAGTAAAATGGACAGAATCTTCATTTTCTGAGTCAGTCTGAAAAGGAAAATTTTTTTCAGAAAAATTAGTCATTTATTAGCTAAAATCTCCGAAAAATTTTATTTCTGCAAAAAATAACATAAAAATTTTTGTCCGCAAATATATGCGGACAAATTTTTTGTCCGCAGATTTTTTTGTCCGCAAATATTTGCCTACTTCCCCAAAAAATAATTTAATAAAAAATTAACCAATTTTCTCAATTTCTGCCACATATATTCCGAGAAAAAAGGAGTAAAAGGCGCCATCAACCGAGTAATTTGTAAAATAACATGAACAACAGTTGACATTGCAAACAATTGATCTTCTTTAGAATTTTCTTTAGTCGTTCCTTTGATTCGGCTTCGATTTAGACGTATATAAGTGTTTGTAAGTGTATCAAAATAATTTACAAGAGGAGAAACAACTGTGTATAAACGATATTCTTTCATTTCTTTACTGACAAAAGCTACAAGGCTATTGGTAAAAGACAATATCCATTGATCCATTAAATTGGTAAAGCCTTTTTTGTATAAAACAAATTGATTGCCTGATTCCTTTAATTAAGAAAATTAATTTTCAATGTGGGAATCAGATAAAAAATTAAAAAAAATTTTTTTTAATCCGCAAATTTTTGCGGACTATCCGCAAATATTTTTGCAGACATTTCCGCAAATAATTAAAATTACTTCCAAAAAAATTTTTATCTGATAGCTCAAGGCAAAAATCAGATTAAAAAATTTTTTTTTAATGTCCGCAAATATTATTGCGGACATGTCCGCAAAAATATTTTATGTTTAATTTCTCAAAATTCCCCAAAAACCCTGCAAAAATTTTCTTACCGCTTCATATTTATTAATTGCCAAACTAACAAATTTGTAAGCATTTAACCACGGACCAAGAACTTGTTTAACTACCTCTGCTACACCTTCTTCTTGAAAACGCAAATTTTCACCTCTAACAACAGGCGAATTAATTAAATAAAGTCGAAGAGCATCTGCCCCATATTTCTCAACAATTTCCATTGGATCAGGATAATTCTTTTTACTTTTAGACATTTTATTTCCATCTGAAGCTAACACTAAACCGTTACAAATTAAATTTTTGAATGGAGGACGATTGAAAAGAGCTGTTGAAATGACCAATAAAGTATAAAACCAACCACGAGTTTGGTCAATACCTAAAAATTATTGGAAGTGAAAAGTATATGTAGTAGATAAATATGTAAAGTGGAATCCCGCTAATACGTCACCTCTGGGTTCTTCGAGCCGACATATAAATGAAAGTGTCTTGTCATTAAGGATCGTAGTAGCGGAGAGCATAAAAGAGTGGACATCCCCGACGAGACTTTTTGTTTTGTTCCTCAACAAGGGAAACTCATAAGGGAAAAGCCTTTGAATTCGTGTCTCACATGTGACGAAATGTCCACCCTATGTTTTTTGATACATTCCAATAAAAAACTCTAACTCAAGTCTTCTTTTCAATCCCGAGTGTGACGTATTAAAAGGATTCTACCAAAAATTCGAGTAGTAACTCAATAAAATAAAAAAGGCTATAAAATAAAAAAAAACCTTCAGCGATAAAATCAGCAGGAAAATTATTTTCAAAAACTTCAGAATTTTCAAACGGATAATGTTGCTGGGCATAAGGCATAGAGCCTGATTCAAACCAACAATCAAAAACTTCACAAACACGTTTCAAAGGTCCATTCCCTTTTATTTTTGAAGGAATTGTTAAATCATCAATACTAAAAAAATTTAAAATTTTTAAAAATTTCAAAAAAAAAACTTTTCTCGATGTAAATCCGTTATTTTAGTACCAGTAAGCTCTTCAAGTTCTGCAATTGAACCAGGACAAACAATTTCTGTATGATCTTCACTAACCCACAAATTGATTGGTGTCCCCCAGAAACGATTTCTACTGACAGCCCAGTCTCTTGCATCACGCAACCAATTTGCAAAACGTTTGTCTCGAACGAAGGAAGGGACCCTAAAAAATTTTAAAAATTTTCAAAATTAAAAAAATTTTATTTGACAAAATTTTTTTTTAAAAATCTCAAAATAATCGAAAAATTTTCCAGAAAAATTTTTAAAAAATTTCAAAAAAAATTTTTTTAAGAAAATTTTCTCAAAGAATTAAAAAAAACTTTTTTTAATTCAAAAAACCACAAACCATCTAGTCTTCTCATTATTCAACAATAATTGTTCAACAAGTGATTCCACTCTAATAAACCAAGACGGGACAGCCTTGTAAATTAAAGGAGTATGTGATCTATAACAAAATGGATAACCTTGGAAAAAAATTTTTTTAATAAAATTTCAAAAAACCCCTCAAACAAACTATGCTTGTATTGCTCCTGTTTTAATAATAAACCCTTTTCTTTCAACATTTTAATTATTTGTTTGTCAGCATCTTTTACATATAATCCTTTAAAGTCAACAACTTCATCTGTAAAAATTCCCTTTTCATTAACAGGGCAGGTCATCTCTGCATCTTTTGTAATGACTCCGTGTTCTAAACATGTTTTGTGGTCTTCCTAGAAAATGAACAAGTTTTGTATAAAAAATTTGTGGAGAAAGAAAGTAACAGAGCTACATATAAAGAAAAGGGATGGATCGGACTAATGTAAGGGTATAGGGTCAAGTTTCCGAAACATTTTTCGGAATCTTTCTGAAAACACTTCGAAGGATTTTGAGATGAGGAATAAGTCTGCGTTTCGGGTCCAAGTCAATTTTTGGAAGTTTCCTTCGGATTGGGGTCTCTGGTTGAAAAAGTCCGGATTTCGAGTATCTGGTAAGTCGACCACAAGGAAGAAAAAACTTTCTTGTGATGTTGGGAGAATTTAAGGAAAACCAGTTCTAAAAATGCTCCAAGACTCCCCTACTCAAAAAAAACCAAAAAAAATTTTAAAAAAACCTCTCCAAAATACGGCGCCTGATGAACAATTCCCGTTCCCTGATCAGTTTTCACATAATTATTTGTAACAACAACAAATACTTTTCTTCCAGTTTCTTTTAAATTCAAAAAATAGGGAAACGGAGGAATATACTCCTTGCCGGCAAGTTCACTTCCTTTGATTGTCTCAATTATTTTATATAAATTTGCCGATTTGTAAAGTTCAGAAAGACGTTCTTTTAGCATAATGTATTCTTTTTGAGTTTTGACATCTGAAAAAAGGAAATTAATGGGATTTTAAGGGATATTTTGGGGTAATTTGACAATAGGTAGTATAGTCAAGGAAAATCTTTGTAAGTCAAGGATTAGTTAAATTGTAAGAAAAATTTGGTTAGGACTGTGCCACTGCGTTCAATTTCTCACCTAACTTTCGCAGACTTCAAGTCCCAAAACTTGTTTCATATCCCTATCTATCTATCTAGGCTCTATCAAGGACGTTCTATCGATTAATACCAAAAGTTCAGAGTTTTGACTTACAGTTCGCGAGGTTCCCGTGCCCCAAAATTCCCCCAAACAGCAAAAAAACCCCAAGAAAATTAAATTATAACAAACCCAAAATAACAGCATAAACAAGATTTGGATTTACACATAAAGCTAAATTGCTGGGTAAAGTCCAAGGAGTTGTAGTCCAAGCAACAAAAGAACGATTCGAATTTTCAACGAGGGGGAAAGCGACAAAAACTAGAAAATTTTAAATAAAACGCCCTTAAAAACTTCCAAAAAAACCTGACGGATCAACAACATCCTGATAATTTTGGCCAGCCTCAAAATTGGAAAGAGGAGTTGAACAGCCCGTAGAAAACGGCATAACCTTCACTCCGCGATAAACAAAATTCTTTTTGAAAAGTTGTGAAAAGACCCACCAAACAGACTCCATAAACCAGCTATTTTTAATTAAAAATTTAAAAATTAAAAAAAAATTTTTACGGGTAAAGAGTTTTGTAGTCATTATCAAAATCTATCCAACGTCCAGTCCTCTCAACCATATGTTGCCATTCTTCAGCATATCTCATTACAATACCTCTGCCTTAAAATTTTTTTATAGGAAAGAAACTTGATAAAGCCAATCTTCTTTTTATTAAAAACTAGGTAAAGTGGACGTCTTGAAAATTTGTTAACCATTGAGTGCGAGTAGAGGGGACTGCCCAAACTTAACGCTAATTTCAAGTCCTTTCCCGTTTTCTTTGTAAATCGACCAAACTAGTCACATTTCTCGAAGATGCGTCTTATAATGAAATTCGATTGTATATACCAGGGGTGTACCAAGTAGAAACTCGATACTTTTTCCGACCCGAATATTTAAACTACGCACATCCCTATAGACTTAAAAATAAAATTTAAAAAACAAACATTTAGCATTGTAAACACCAATTCCCATATCCAAAACATCACTAGGCCCTTTGACGCCCAAAATTTTGTCTACTTCGTACTCCACTGGCAACCCATGCGTATCCCATCCAAAACGTCTTTCAACATAAAAACCACTTTGGTGTGCCCAACGAGTAACAATGTCTTTTATTGTGCCTTCAAATGAGAGGATTTTAAGAGGAATACAAAGCCAATCAAACCTGCCAAAATATGCCCATAGTGTGGAAGTCCAGTAGCAAAAGGAGGGCCGTCATAAAATGTGTAATGGGGCTTTCCACGATTTCGACTGAAAAATTTGAACTTAAAAATCCTAGAAAACAAACTCTAGAGAGGTTTGAAAGGTGTTCTTGTCTCGCCATTTTTGAAGAATTTTGCGTTCCTCTGCAGCAAAATCAATGTGATCTGGAACGACTTCTAATCTCGGCTCATCTTGTTGTTGTTTCATTAAAGCAAAAAAAAAAGCTCGTTGGAATAATAAATAGTCAAAACCTAAATAAAAAATGAACTTTTAATTTGGTGCTCTAGTCAGTCTCGACGAGAAAAAAAATTTTGGTAATTCCAAGGCTGGTCCCCCCCCTTTTTTCCCTTTCCAATTTTTTCGATTTTTAAAACTTTTTATGGCAAATTATATATCGTTCGAAAGAGCTCTTCAAGCTGAGTCGAACGGTACTAAATTCATCGAAATCCGACTTAAATAAACATAGTTATGAGCATTTGTTTTAATCCCTTTAAACATCACAAAAAGCATGTCCATCGAGGATTTAGCTTCATAATTCTGCTCAGAATCTCCAAATCGAACCGATCATAGTATCATTCTACTTAGCTCGAACAGCTCTTTCGAATGATATATTGTAAATTATATGTCAAGCAAAAAAGCTCAAAATGGTCAGGGGACAGAAAAAAGGGGGGGGACCAGCCTTGGAATTACCAAAATTTTTTAGAGGGAGAAAAATTAAAGAGGAAAACGATGCACGACAATTGGATACCGAAACAATAGGAGAACGAGACAATAGAATAATAAGACAATTGGACACTAAGACAATTGGACAGCGAGACAATAAACATTTAGTCCGTCTTTAATCAGTGTCAATTGTCATATGCAACGCACTGTCCAATTGTCCTATTTCCAAATGTCACTGCCCATTTATTCTGTCCAATTGTCTTGCTGTCAATCTGTCTTCTGTCTAATTGTTTCATAGTTCAATTGTCATAGCCCAGAAGATCACCAGAGTTTTTTTTCGCTTTGAATGATTCTCGCCTTTTAATAATTTTTTTGTTGGTGTACTTTGTAACTAATAAAATAAACCATGGCTCTCATCGACAAAATACCAATCAAAAGTACAAAAATCTTGATTAAAAAGTACATAGGGAGAAAATGTGCAAATAAAAAGTACACACCAAATTAAATTAGAAAGTATTTATTCGTCCTCAAATCTTTCAAATTTCCCTCCTACATAAATGAATCTTTTCTAATAATTTCTAGTTTCCACTGAGCATTTTGTGCATTTCAATGTCAAAATTCGCTGACACAAGGATGCCCTGAAATAAAGCCCTGAAATGGGTACGGCCCAAGTAGGGAAAAGGTCGATTCAGAGTCGCCGATTCAGAGTCGCCAATTCAGAGTCGCCGATTCAGAGTAGCCGATTCAGAGTAGGGACTATTCAGAGTAGGGACAATTCAGAGTAGCCGATTCAGAGTACGGGGAAAAGGGGATTCAGAGTACATAAATTTTCGGGCATAGAAAATCAGCTTTTCTAGCGATTTTTCTGGTTTTTCTTACTTTCTACGATCTGAGGAACATTTCAAGAGCTAGCCGAGTCTCGACTCTAGGCTTTTCTTAGGCTTTTTCGGCCGTAGGTAAAGATTTGGCCTCAACTTTTTTTCTTCAGGGAACAAAATTTTAATAAAAAAAACGCGTCAAATAAGCAAAAATTTATCAAAAAATAAACTAAAAAGTCAATGTCTCGTTTCACTTATTAGATTTGTGGCTCTAAAGAGGGCCGTTTGGGTTGTGGCTGTTGTTGACGAAATTGCAACATCGCTTCTTTTCCATACAGGACTGCAATTCAAAGGTTGCCAGGCAGAATCACCTCAGCAGCAAATCGCTCAACAGCAAACCGCCCGAGCACGTCGTTGTTACCCCTAGAAAAATGAATTTAAAAAATTGAAAAAATTCTTTAAGAAATTTTAAAAAAATTAGAGAAATTTCAAAAAAATTAAAAAAAAACAAAAATTCTGTTAAAAAACCTCGCAATGTAGAGAAGAACCTCGTTGTTTAAGTTTCTGTGGAAAATTGAAGAAATTTAAAAAGTTTAAGAAAAATTTAAAAAATTTTTAATTTTTATTAAAAATTATTTTCTGCCATTGAACTATTGTTGCTGGTTGTGCAAATTGCTGTTTTTCTCTCTAAAACAATAAAAAGAAACAAGAAAGAATAAAAAACAAAAAAATAAAGCAATTGCTTTCCAAAAATCTCAATTTTTAGGGTAATCTAATCTACGTACTCTGAATCGTCCCCTTTTCCACGTACTCTGAATCGGCGGACTCTGAATTGTCCCTACTCTGAATCGGCTACTCTGAATCGGCGACTCTGAATCGGCGACTCTGAGTCGTCCCCTACCCGCCCAAGTAGGCGCACGGCCAAGTAGACGCAAAGTCATAACTTGCTTCAAAATTTCTGAATCTTACCAAATTTGGTATTAAACGATTCCTCTCATCGAGCTAAAGAGAATGGTACCAAAATTGTTAAGGTCCATAAATTTTTCAGGTAGTTATGGCTTTGCGCCTACTTGGCCGCGCGCCTACATGGGCGTGTCCCCCTGAAATAAACTCTGTTTGATTGACTGCATTCCCTATCGATCTTCTCATTTTATTAAATTTTTATTTACTAATAAAATCTAATAAAAATTAAAATTTAAAGGATGTTAGTCAGAAATACCCTCAAAATTGCTCAAAATGACGGAAAATTTTGCTTGGAACTTATCAAAAGAAATTTGTCAATTACTTCAAAATTACAAGGAAATGGGTTTAATTTAGGTAAAAAACTGAAGGATTTTGATTAAAAAATTAATTTTTTTTAAAGATTTGTCTTCTGAACAAAAACAACTTCAACAAGCAGTGGGTAAATTCACCGCAGAAGAAATAATTCCGAAAGCTGCCCATTATGACCAGACAATGAAATTTCCTTGGGAAGTAATTAAGAAGGCACATGCTAATGGGTTTATGAATGTTGATATACCTGCTGAATATGGTTTCTTTTAAATTAGAATTTTGGGTTCTAGGGAGTGTTCATTAGAGATCGGCCCGGGTCTGGACCAAAGCCAGGGTTTTTCCTGTACCCAGCCAGGACCAGTATTTTTTGACCTTCCTGGATTTTTCCTGGGCCTGGGTTTTTTCTGACTACAGGCCCAGGATCCGGCCCAGGTCAATAAATCAAATTCGGAACCCAGGAAGGCCCAGGCTTTTCAAAAATTCTGATCTCTAGTGTTCATTACAAGACAAAGTAAAAGTTAGGCCAGGTGACAGGAGTTGAACCTTATCCTTGCTGGCAGTATTTACTAGGCTTCTCTCTCACTCCTTTGCTCTACCGACTGAGCTGACGAGGCGACAACTTTTGCTTCCCCTTTTCCTTCTTTAAGGCGTTTTAAAATGCTGCCAGATGACTCACACTTATAGACAGTTCACCATACAGACAATTCACCGTAAGGTGGCCAAGTGTCGTCTGGGCAAATTGAGCTTATAATGAACATTCCCGAATAAACTTTAAACGAATTTTTTAGGAGGCCTTGACCTAGATTTATTGAGCAACGTTCTTATCAGCGAAGCTATTGGTTATGGATGCACAGGAATTGGGACTGCCATTTTAGGCAATGATTTGGCTGCAACCCCAATTATTCTTGGTGGAAGTGAAGAAATTAAAAAGAAATATTTGGGTCAATTGATTGATGAACCTGTTATGGCTGTATGTATTTTCTCTTATTTTTTAACGATTCTTTTAAGTCTTATTGCGTGACAGAACCAGGTGCCGGCTCTGATGTTTCCGGACTTAAAACAAAGGCAGTAAAGAAAGGAGATGAGTGGGTGGTTAGTTCTTTTGATGTTTTTTTCCAAAAATTCTTAAAAATCTTTTTTTAAAGATAAATGGCTCAAAAATGTGGATAACTAATGGAGGTGTTGCTTCATGGTTTTTTGTACTAGCTCGAACCGATCCCGACCCTAAGGCTCCGAGTGGAAAGGCGTTTACTGCTTTTGTTGTGGATGGTGATGCTAAAGGTCTTTCTCGAGGGAAAAAGGTTTTTTAATTAATTTTTTGGAATTTTTTCGAATTTTTATTTGAAGGAAATAAATTTGGGTCAGCGTTGCTCTGACACTAGAGGAATTACTTTTGAAGATGTTGTAGTGTCTTCTTCAAATGTCATTGGAATACCTGGAGAAGGCTTCAAAATTGCAATGAAAACTTTTGACAAAACTCGCCCAATTGTTGCTGCATTGGCTGTTGGACTTGCTTCTAGAGCTTTGGATGAAGCTGCGAAATATTCATTGGAAAGGAAGACTTTTGGAATGCCTATTGCTAACGTAAATATTTTTTGTGTTTTACAATGCCCCTTTGAGTTGCATGGCTAGGGGTGGGATTTAACTGGGACCTGTTGTAGGATGTAACTGGGAGTGTGATGTGATACCAAATCCCCAAAAGTGCCAAAATACCAAATAATGGAGAAATACAAGTATGTATAGGTTTGTTTGTTTCAACAAATGTTCTTCATTATTTGGTATTTAGGAGTCTTTTAGGGGTTTGGTATTAGGCAATATACAGATTTGATTATCTGAAATGAGAAACTTTTCAATTTTCAGCATCAAGGCGTTTCTTTTATGCTAGCAGACATGGCAATGGCTTTAGAACTCTCCCGTTTGATGACTTATAAAAGTGCCCAAGAGGTTGATCTTGGCCGTCCGGGTGCTTATTGGGCTTCAATTGCTAAATGTTTTGCTGCTGATACTGCAAACCAAACAGCTTCAAATGCTGTCCAGGTTTTTTGATTCTTATTAGGACTAACGCCAAAAATATTTCTTTTATAGATATTTGGAGGGAATGGCTTCAACACAGAATTCCCAGTAGAAAAATTAATGAGGGATGCAAAAATCTTTCAAATTTATGAAGGTTACAAATTTTTTTGTTTTTTTATTTAATCAATATACCTATTTAAAGGTACCTCACAAATTCAACGTCTTGTTATCTCGCGTCAATTGCTTCAAAGAGTTGCTCAGACGGGGACTTCAAGCGTTTAATTTTTGGATTATTTTCGAATTTATTTGATTTTTTTGTGTTTTTAATCAATATTTTAATCCTTTTAATGTTTTTAAACACTCAATAAAAATTTCTAACATATTTGATTTTTGATTTAGGTGTATGTTATCAAACTGATATTTTTAAATTGTTTTGTATTTATTTTGTTTTGTAGATCTTTGACTTTTTACACTTAAAACCGAGATGAGTCAACGCGGTAGTTCAAATCGTGGTTCAAGTGAGCCTAGGGGCCAAACTTATCAGTATGGTGGTTCAACCTCTCGTGTATGTTTTTCTTTCTTAATATAGCTCAGAAGTGTCAATATTTATTTTTAGTTGTCTCAAAAACGACAGAATACAAGTGATGAAAATGTTTATTGTACCTGTGCAACTAATGAAGATGCTTTGCTAAATATTCATCTTAATGGCCGTCATTCACTTTCCGTGCAATTTGGAGAAGATGAGGAAGGGAAGTTATTAATTCATTTAAATGGACAGCAGATATTTTTGGGGGAGGATGAGTGGAAACGGACAGATTCGGTTTCTTTTTTCTATTTTATTTTAATTTATAAGACAAAAGCTTTGTTCTCCTATGGCATACATTGAGGAAGCTGAACGCTGCATGGAAGAGGATCCCTCGAATGAGATACGAGCGAGCGATAAAGTATTGATTTGTTTTTAATTTTAATCCTTATACTTGTTTTAGTGCTGGGCTTCCTTGGGTGCAACCGTTGCTCTCTTTTATAAGGACTTAAGTGTTGTTGTTCAAGATGGATCGTCGAATAAAACATTACATGGACTCAACTTGAAGACACATAAGGCTATGATAACTATGGCGCGTTTTGCCGCTAATTTTAGTTCAAAGCGTGCTAGTCTTGGAGGAGTAATTGAAAGCGTTAAGTAGTTCGTTCATATTTTTAAATTTTTGGTATTATTAATACTTTTTTAGTGCACGCTTTAACGATCACAGAGAGACGCTGGACACTTATGAAATATGGAAAATAATTGAGAGAATGAAGTTTTTTATTGAAGAATTTGGTGAAATCGACAAGAAAGAGGTTGAAAAAGAACTTGCTCCGCTTATAAATTCTGGCAAATATAAGAAGGTTATTTTTCTTAAGGAGACGAAATCTGATTTGATTTGTGGTACTCGTTATAATTTTGACATTCAAGTTGAATATGTTAAGAAAAATGAGAAAATTCTATCTCCCAAATTATAGATTTATTTGAGAGTTTTAATTGATTTTTTGTTGCTAGTTATGCTTTTAGAAATTTTTGCATTTAAAATTAAATATGTTTGGCTTTAAATAAATTCCGCTTTTTGCATTTTATCATTAACTTTTGGTTGTAACCAATTTTATTTGTTAATTTTCTCTTACATTTTCTACCAGATATTTTTAAATTGTTTTGTATTTATTTTGTTCTGCAGATCGTTGATTTTTAGAACTTAAAACTGAAATGAATCGAGGCCGTAATTTGAAACGTGGGACTATGCCGAGGGTTCAAGCTGGTTCAAGTTCAACTCCACATGTATGTTTTTCATTTAATACAGCACGAGTCAATATTTATTTTTAGTTAGTAGCAAACCGGACTATAAAAAGTTTTGATGATGTTTATCTTACATGTGCAGATGATGAGGATGCTGTTGTAAATATTCATTTTAATGGTCATACAATTTCCTTCAAATGTGGAGAAGATTGGGAAGGGAATTTGTTAGTTCAATTAAATGATGAGAAGATACTTTTGAAGCAGGAGTGGCAACATATGAATGTGGTTTATTTTTTTCTATTTAGAAAATTATTTTTTAAGTTTATTATTTCGAAAGTATTTTATTTTTCTATTAATTTAGAAAACGCAAAAACTTTACTCGCCTATGGAATTCATTGAGGCGGCCGAACGATGCTTGGAAGAGGATCCTCCGAATGTTGTTCAATCAAGTGAAAAGGTATTGATTTGTTTTAACTTTTTAATCTTTATACTTGTTTTAGTGTTGGGGCTCCCTAGGGTCAGCAATTGCTCTCTTCTGTAAGGACTTAACTGTTGTTGTTCAAGAGGGATCGTCCACTAAAACATTACAAGGACTCAACTTGAAGACACATAAGGCTACGATAGCTATGGCGGGTTTTGCTGCTAATTTTAGTTCACAGGGTGCTAGACTTGGAGGAGTAATTGAATGCGTTAAGCGGTTCGTTCATATTTTTAAATTTTGGTATTTTAAATTTTTAGTGGACACCGTAACTTTATTAGAGGGTTTTTAAGCAGTTCTCAAATGAGGAAAACAATTAAGAAAATGAAGTTTTTTATTAAAGAATTAAATAAAATTGACAAGAGGAAAGTTGAAGAAGAACTGACTCCACTCGTAAATTCTGGCAAATATCAAAAAATTATTTTTCATAGACTGACGAGACCAGATTATATTTGTTGCAATGTTTATAATTTTGACATTCAAGTTACAGAAAAAGAGTATATTAAGGAAGATAAGAAAAGTTTTCCTCCCAAAAAATAAATTTATTTCAAATTTTTAATTGATTTTTTTGTTGTTATTTATTTTTTCGATATTTTTGGCATTTAAAATGTGATGTTTGGCTTTAAATAAATTTCACTTTTTTCATTTGATTAATTTTTGGTTGAAGCCACTTTTATTTGTTGACTTCTTACAAGGCAGTGAAGGAAGGATGTCAAGGCATCTTTGTTATGCTAGCAGACTTGGCAATGTCTTTAGAACGCCCTTTTGATAACGGGAGAAAGAGAAAACAACATATTTGTGGAAAACGTCATAGTTTTGACATTGAATGAAAAGGAATTATAAAAAAGAAAATTGTTCTTTCTCCAAAGTATAGATTTATCTCAAAGTTTAAATTTTTTCCCAGCAAATTTAATATTAAAAAATTTTATTTTCTTTAAAAAAACTTCAAATTCCGAGAGAAAAACAATCTCGAAAAACAAGAAATAAATTTATATAGAACAGTAATAAATTCTCACTTTTAAAGTTTCTTTAAAATTATACATTTTCTCTAATAATCCTCTCCTCGACTAACCACTTCTTTACATGTTGGACGTAGAAGAATAGTATGTTCCCACTGTGCCGTATAACATCCTTTCTGAAAAAATTTTTCGTATAATTTATAGAAACTAATGGATAACATCTAATAGGATTTGAGGACCCTTGTTTTCAGATAGGGCCGGATTTACACCCCTACCCGAATCCTTTCCCTTTGACGGAAGAGAAAATTCACGAAGGGAGAGAAACCATTTAGACAGATTTTTTGAATAAAAAATTAACCTGATCACAAAGTGGTGGATAAGGTGTCACAATTCCTTTATCGCAAAGATCTTTTAGTGACATCAAATATTTAGTTTCACCCAAACGATCAATCCAACGCCTGCAGAAGGCTAATGTCCCAAAATTTTTGTTGATTAATGAGAGAAGTTTTTTGCTTCGAGCCAATCTAAAAATTAAAAAATTATTTTAATAAAATTCAGAAAAAAATAAACCTTAAAGGAACATGTTCATCATGCATGTCAAAATTCTTCATATAATGACTAACTTCCATATCATCATGGACGTAACCTCTTCCAGTACTTCCAAAAGTCTCGATGGCAAAACTAAAAAAATTTTTCTTAATTTTCAAAAATTTTTAAAATTCTTCTTCCTTACACTTCATTTTCCTCCATTTTTACTTGTTCTCCACCTTTAACAATTGGAACTGTCTTTCCAGCGTGTATACGATAGGGCCCAATTGAATGACCTTAAAAGAGATGTTTAAAAATTAATTTAAAAAATTTAAAACCATTAAGATTTCTGATTGGTTTGATTGGATAAGTTTTTCCATTTAATTCCAATTCATATGAAGTCATTACCTGAAAATAAGAAATAATTCTGACAAATAATTTTACTAGAAATATATGTTGTAATTTTAAAAATTCTGGAATTTTATGCAAAAAGACCGAAACTTCACTTTTAGATAAACCTAGGAGATGAAAAAATTGCATTTATATATTATACTGGAATGTTCCTTACATAGACGGGATCGTTTAGGCTACTCCCTCGCCCCAGTATCACTCATGTCAGTATCGCCTATTTGTTAGGCAGCTCCCTCACCCAGTAGATGTCTAAAAACTATTTTTGTATGACCAAAAAATCTAGGTTCGAAAAATATTATTCGCCCAAAATTCTTATCCTCTACAGCCCTTTCCTATTTATAAAAAACTAATCCACTCTTACAACAATATATTAGTCAAAAATTGACCCTTTTTTAAACCTCTTCAATAGCCTCGCCAATATCACAAAGTCGAACATCAATTCCAGCTTCACGAATTCCAGTTTCTGTAGCTTCCTTCACAGCATTTAGAAGAGTGTCAAATTTAGAATCATATGTCAAAGTAAATGCACAATCAATTATACGTCCATTTACGTGGGTTCCGTAATCAATCTGTTATTTTAAACAAGTTTAGAAAAATTTCCAGAAAATTTTAAAAAAACCTTAACAATATCAGAAGGCCCCAAAACAGTATCATCCCCAGCATTTGGTGTATAATGCGCTGCACAATGATTAATTGAACATCCCGTTGGAAAAGCAAGACCTGAAGCCAATCCATTCTCATTAATCATCCGACGACTGTGTGCTTCAAGACGCTCACTAGAAAATTTCAAAAAAATTTTTTTGAAAAAATTAAAAGCAAACCAAATATCAAAAAGCTTCATTCCCGGCTTTATCCACGATTTAACATATTTTCGTGTCTGTCTATGCGACTCCGCGGCTCTTCTAAAATCTTTATAAATGTCCTCATAACTGGTATCCAAAGCTTTTTTCTCTTCGTTGGTAATGCGATTGATGGCGGTTCTGTCGTCCATATTATAACGATATTCACAAATCTACAAATTATTTTAAATTTATTTTAGTGTCAAGGCTAGGCGGACATTAAATCATAACCAGGCCAGTAAACCAGGAAGATTTAGCCCTACCCCTACTTCTGGCTATAGGCATGATTATGCTTCACCCCAAAATCCAAACTTTTGGACACACTCACAATCAGTCGGCTAAAGAAAAACCACAATCCTTACATTTAGCATATTGTTAGACCTACTAGACCGTTCTATTAATGAAAGGTTGAAAAATCGCAGAATAATTCCTCCTATTAGAAAACAGGAAAGAGACCCAGAAAGGAACCCTCATTATATTCAAAAAAAATTAACAAAAGAAAACCTGTCCAATAGGAAAATCCCCCTCAACAAATTGCTGATCTATCGGCTTCATTCCATTAATTTCAGTAGCCCAGTTTTCCGGCAACATGTCTTTAATAACCCCATCAACGACCTCCTCACTTTCCTCAACAACTTTCTCATCAACTTCATTAGCCAAAACTTCCTTCTTTCCTTTCTTCTTCCCCTTTTGCTTTGAAGCTGCTTCATTCGATTTCATCTCAATATCCTTAAGGATTGAGTCAATATCGTCGACAGCATCTTTGAAAAAAATTTTTTAAGGTTTAAAAGGAGAAAATTACCCGAAGTTTTGGCAGCAGACTTTTTTGCTTTAGGCATTGTAAGATTGTAGCTAATATCCAAAAGATTCTTAATCTACCTATAAATTATAAAAAATCGAAAGTTCCCAAGTTTGAAGAAAAAAATAAACTTTACAAGTAAAGTTTAGAAGGACTCAAATTAGACCGAAATTTCCTAAATAGTATAGAAAACAATGAGAGTGTTAGAGAAATCAAAGAAAAAGAAAAATGACATTTGCTCCCATATATTTCGAATTGGTAACTTTTCTTAAGAAGGATTTATAGAAAGATATTGAGAGATATTAGGGAATTTTGAGAGATTTTAGAGAAAAAGAGTTTTGTCTTTTTGATTCTATTGCCTTGCCAGTTGAGTACCAGTTACGTCTCTCATTTTTAATTGTTTTTTTAGGTTTTCATTGTTTTCGCTTATTGTCGCTTATTTTTAGATTTTAAAAATTTATGCAAAATCAACAACAAAACAACAAAAATAATTCTTATAAAGACTGTTTAGAGTGCAAATTAACAGTTTCGATAGGTTCTTTCTGTCTCGGATCTTGGATTGTTTACAACAGCTTATCCAAAAATAATTTTTTAATTCGTTCAAAACCTTCTTTTGCTGTTGGATTGGCTTTTTATTATATTTCTATTTCACGGATTTTTTACCTTCATCCGTTTAAAGGCTTAAAATCAGACAACGAGAGTTAAACAAGAATGGAAGAAGTAGAAACAATCATAACTGATGCAGACGAAGAAAAATTGAAAGCAAAGCTTTTAATTAACAAATATGAGGTAACTAATTACTATTGTGTTAATTGTAGGGTTGCCAGCTCGCTCGACCCGAAACTCGAAAGATCGAGCGAGCCAAGATCGATACAACCCTAGTTAATTGTCTTTGTGGCTTAGTTGGTAGTGATCTAGACTTGACAGGGTGTGGGTTGAGGGTTCGAGTCCTACTGTCGAAACTTGATTTTTATTTTAGTTTAATATATTTTTTGGATGAAAATATGATATTTATTTTGCTCCAAAGTATTTTTAGATTTTTTTCTATCTTACAAACTCCTTGTTTCCCCTTTAACTTCTATTTTAAGGCCAAACGTCGAAAATTAATCGAAGAAGAAGAAAAGGCAAAATTAGAAGGATTGATCTCATCTGATGATTCAGACCCCGATGCAGACTCTTACATTTCAGCTAGACAGAGGAGAAGAGAGCAGGTTTTTTAGAGTTAACTTGCTTCTAAATTTACAAATTTTTAAAGGAACACAGACGCCTTTTGTTGAGGAATTTAATTCATTCAAAAGTAACAGAAGCACAAGCAGATAAGGATTTACAAAGAGAAACAGAAGAATTTTTGGCTGCAAAACGAAGAAAAAAGGAAGAGGAGAAGAAATTGGAAGAGTCTAAGAAAAGTTTGCTGGAGAAGCATAATGAATTACTTCAACAAGAACAAGGTTATCTTCTTGGTTTTTTGGGTGTTTTTTAGTGATTTATTAGGAAGTTGATGTTAGGTGCGGTGTGGTTAAGTTGGTAAACATTCACTCATTAATGAAGGGTCTGTCTGGGTTCGAGTCCCACATCTTGCAATTTATTTTATTTTTACTGTTAGAGTTTCCTTTGATAAAGAAAGTCGTTTTCCTTGGACAAAAATTTTTCAATAAAAAATCGCCCGATAAATTGTCTATTTAATAAACAATTTCTTTCCTTTTAGACGATGATCGAGAAGATGACGAAAAGAGACGCGAAGAAGAAGACAAAATTCTTCAAAGTGTTACACAAACAAGTGCTCTTGCTACGGTTTTGTTTTTGTACTATTTTTTATTCTAAACTTCATAGTTTAGGTCGCAGAAATTGCAAAGGGTGTTAAATACACAGAATCTATAAAAACATCTTGGAGGCCACCTAGACACATTCGTAACCAGACAGAAGATGATTGGGACAATTTTAGAAGGGAAAAAGGAATTCAAGTTGAGGGGGAAGACTGCCCACCAGCTATTGGAAGTTTTTTGGTTTGTTTTTTAATCTTTGTAAGGGTAGTTGGTACTTTTTGGACATCCTCTTCTCTAGCTTGAGCTCTTTTATTATTATTCAAACTATTTAAGAGCGGGATATCCAAAGAGTACCAGGCAGTCTTAGTATCTTTCTTTTTGTAAATAAGGCTGCTTTTCCGTTAACGCCCATTAATATTTTTCTTTGCATAAATCCGTGATTCCCCGAGCTTTCATTTTAAAAATACTTTCGATGTTTTTATTAAAAATGAATAGCCTTAAGAAAAATGAATAGCCTTAAGAATAGCCTTAACGTTTAAACTTTCAAGATATACTTAAAAATTACCTAATTTTAAAAAAATTTTCTAATTTTTCAGGAAATGAAATTGCCTTCTTCAATCATTCATTTACTCAAAGAAAAGAAAATTTATATTCCAACAGGCATTCAAATGCAAGGAATTCCAGTTGGTTTAAGTGGACGTGATATGATTGGAATTGCTTCAACAGGTTCTGGAAAGACTTTAACTTTTGTTATTCCAATAATAATGTTTGCTTTGGAACAAGAAATTGCTTTGAGATTTAAAAAAGGAGAAGGGCCTTATGGTTTAATTATTGTCCCGTCAAGAGAATTGGCAAAACAAATTTCTGATGTAATTCAATGGATTTGTGATTCTTTGCCAAATTGTGATTTTCCTGAAGTTAGAGTTGGGTTGTCTATTGGTGGATTTCCTATTAAAGACCAAGCAAGAGTTTTTGAAAGGTTTGTATGTATTTTATTTTTTCGATTTTCTGTTACTTTTCTGGTATCTCCCCCTCCATTTTCCTTTTCTTCCTTCTCCTTTCTTTTCCTCCTACAATTGGTTTGGGGTGAATACATAAGGGTAAAAAAATGAGCGTTAAATAAGGCAGTCAACATAAGTTTTTACGAGAAAAAGAAATTCCTCCTTTGTTGGTAATTATTTTTGCGTGACCATAATGGAATTTGTGACTATAATTCATATTCCAACAGACATCCAAATGTAATGGTGGACCTCCGACCATTTTTAATTTTTCTGGAAAAGTTAGAAATGATGGGAAGATTAAAAAACGGGGGGAACTAACTAAAAACTGGGGAAATAGTAAAAACGTACCAAAGATTGAAAAAAAAATTTTTAGAGGTGTTCATATAGCTGTTGCTACTCCTGGTCGTCTTTCTGATATGTTAAACAAGAAAATTCTGAACTTACAAGTTTGTCGCTATTTGGTTCTTGATGAGGCGGACAGAATGTTGGATATGGGATTTGAAGAAGAATTGCGTTCAATTTTTTCTTATTTTAAGGTTTAAAATATTTTTTGATCAATAGAATAATTTTTTATCTGGATATTTTGTCACTTTTTGGAATTTTTTGTAGGGTGACAAAATATCCCAAATTGTCTAAAAAAAATTTTTTTTTAATTTCAAAAAAAAAATTTTTCTTTTCCAGGGACAACGTCAAACTCTTCTATTTTCAGCAACTATGCCAAAGAAAATTCAAAATTTTGCAAAATCTACACTTGTTCGTGCTATTGTTGTAAATGTTGGAAGAGCTGGAGCTGGTATTTAATTTTTTTTTATTTTTCAAAAAAATTTTTCCTTAGCTTCCTTAAATGTTGTTCAAGAATTTGAATATGTTAGAAGTGATGAAAAATTGGTAAAAATTCTCAATTGTTTGCAAAAAACACCTCCAAGAGTTTTAATTTTTGCTGAGAAAAAAGCTGATGTTGATCATATTTGTGAATATTTGTTGGTAAAAGGAATTGAAGTTGCTTCAATACATGGAGGGAAAGGTTTGGTTTTTTAAATTTACAATTGGACCTTACTACAAGATTCGAAGAACACATCAATTTATTAGACATTTTTTAATTTGGTTAAGCACTGGGGCTCTTTCCCTACCTATTGTCTAGCAGGAATTGCGTTCAATGTTGATTTAAAAATGTTGATTTTTAGCGCCACAAGACCAAAAAATTCACGTTTATTTTCACAATCCCCTCTTTTAATTTTCCCTTTTTCCCATTTCGAGGGGGGGGTCCCCTGGCTACGTGCCTAGTACCTAGCCAGAATTTATGAAATGTGTCTTAAATAGAGGGGCATTTTAAAACGTCCGAGTCTATAAGATTTAAAAAATAATCTATATTCCCTATTTTTAGATCAAAAAGATAGACATTCAGGAGTGGATGCTTTTAGACGTGGAGAAAAGGATGTTTTAATTGCTACAGGTTTTTTAAAGATTTTTTATAAAAATTGAAATTAAAAAATAATTTTTTTAAGATGTTGCATCAAAAGGATTAGACTTTGAAAATATTCAACATGTAATTAATTTTGATATGCCTGAAGATATTGAAAATTATGGTTTGTTTTTTTTGTTTTGATTTTTATGGAGGGTTATCCTCCATTGTCGAACCTCACTCATTCTTCAAAATAGAGAGAAATATCCCACTAAACCATAGTGGTAACTTGGTGAATATTCGACGGAGATTATAAAATATTTCCCATTAAACGGGTTCGAACCCTCTCCATTATTAAAGTAAGCACTATCCCACTACACCAAAGTGGAAACTTCTTTCAATTGTCGCATATTCTGTTCGATCGATAAATGTAAGGCTGGGAAATCTGGGTCCAGATTTTAATTTTGAAAATTCTGCCGGAATCTCTCCTAGCATAATTTTCAAAATTTTAAATCCAAATTTTGTTAAAAATAATTTTCTTTAATTTTTCCAAAAATAAATTTCCTTTGCTTTTTCTAGTTCACCGTATTGGACGTACAGGAAGACGACTAGGTAAATGTGGTATTGCAACAACATTTATAAATAGAAAAGCAGGTTTTTAAACAATTTTTTAAGCTTAAAAAAATTTTTTCCTTTAAATATATCTCTGTTCTTCTCGATTTGAAACATTTACTTATCGAAGCAGGACAACCTTTACCAGCATTTTTAAAACAATTGGCTGGGGAGGATGAAGAAAAAGAAAAACTTGACGCTGCCATTATGCCTAAAGAAGAGAAAAATGTTGTTGATGATGCAGATAAGGGATGCTCTTATTGTTCTGGTTTGGGACACAGAATTACAAATTGTCCAAAATTGGAAAGTGCAAGGTCCAAAACTGCTTCAAATCTAATGCAAAAGAGAACAGAATTTTCTGGGCATGAAGGCCTTTGATTGAATGGTTGTTTATTTTTTTCGTTATTTTTTGTTTATTAAAAATTTTTTTTGTTTTTACAACAGTTTTTGTTTAAATAAATTTTTTATATTATTTATTTTGTTTACTATGCGTTTAATAACATTGATATTTTTTTAATTTTAAGAACAGTTACTGTTTTATTTTTATTCTCTATTTCAGCTTATGAACAGATGGAATGCCGATATATGATTTGGATTTGGCCACAACGAAAGATGACGAATGGAAGTTTACAACCTCCATCTTTGCTTAGGTTTGTAAAAAATTTTTTAATGTTTTTTACTAGAGGGGTTGTTGTTGCATGAAATGGGTGATAAAAAAGATTTACCGTTGAAGGGATTCGAACCTCACTCATCCTCTACAAGAGAAATATCCCGCTAGACCATGGTGGTAACTTTAGTGTGGGTGAATATTTGACGGAGATTATAAAATATTTCCCACTAAACGGGTTCGAACCCTCTCCATTATTAGAGTGAGCACTATCCCACTAAACCAAAGTGGAAACTTCTTTCAATTGTCGTATATTCTGTTCGATCGATAAATGTGGGGCTGGGAAATCACTCTAAAGAATATTTTCGTCAAGTTTTACTAAAAATACTAATTTTTTTCTTTTTCTAGTCTTTCCAAACACAACCTGTTAATATTAAAGAAACAATCCAGAATATGGTGATTATCAACTTAATTCCTTCTTCAAAGGATATTGCAACAGAAATTATTATTAGTTGGAAATTATCCCTTTGGTCGAAAAGGTTTTTAATTAAATTTTTTATGTTTCAAAAAATTATTTTTTACAGAAAGAACAAGCTGTCAACGATACTTTTGTGCATGTCACTGATCGTTCTGAACATGAAACTATTACTACCTTTATCCATTCTTTCTTCCCCATCCCCGGGTGTTCTTTGCGGACAAAACTTGCTCATTTTTACCTTAACAACAATTATATTTTTTTCATTCAGTGCTTCAAATCCAACAATGCTGCTGTGATGGACTTCAACAATTTGGTTTTTGCGGGTTGTGTGGGTAAGATTTGTGTGTGTGTTTTTAGCAGGTTACGTGGGAACTTTAGGGGTTGCGCGGGATTCTCCAGCAGTCGCGCGGGTTCCTCTTGCGTTGCGCGGGTTCTTCAAACATTTGCTCGGGTTCTTCTAACATTTGCTCGGGTTCTTCAAACATTTGCTCGGGTTTTCAAGCATTTGCGCGGGTTCTTCAAGCAATTGCGCGGGTTCTTCAAGCATTTGCGCGGGTTCTTCAAGCATTTGCGCGGGTTCTTCAAGCATTTGCGCGGGTTCTTCAAGCATTTGCGCGGGTTCTTCAAGCATTTGCGCGGGTTCTTCAAGCATTTGCGCGGGTTCTTCAAGCATTTGCGCGGGTTCTTCAAGCATTTGCGCGGGTTCTTCAAGCATTTGCTTCGGCATTTGCGCGGGAACTTCAAGCATTTGCGCGGGAACTTCAAGCATTTGCGCGGGAACTTCAAGCATTTGCGCGGGAACTTCAAGCATTTGCGCGGGAACTTCAAGCATTTGCGCGGGAACTTCAAGCATTTGCGCGGGAACTTCAAGCATTTGCGCGGGAACTTCAAGCATTTGTGCGGGAACTTCAAGCATTTGTGCGGGAACTTCAAGCATTTGTACGGGAACTTCAAGCATTTGTGCGGGAACTTCAAGCATTTGTGCGGGAACTTCAAGCATTTGTACGGGAACTTCAAGCATTTGTGCGGGAACTTCAAGCATTTGCGCGGTAGCTTCAAGCATTTGCGCGGGAACTTTTAGGGTTTGCGTGGCTTTAGTATGTTGCGTGCGTTCTTATTATTTTTAGTGTTGTGTGTGTTTTTGTATTTGCGGCTGGTCTTGTTGCTTCAATGGTAGAAACTGCAACAACAGCAACAAATAAATCCAACGTGCAACAACAACAATCAATTGGCCAAAAGTTTGTTTGTTATATTTTTTATATATCGCAAGTTTTGTCCGCAAAATTATTTTTGTCCGCAAATTTAAATTGGGTACAAAATTTAAAAAATTCCTATTCGGTAATTGAACTGAGTTTTGGTGAGTATCCTTTAAGGTTATCTTATTTGAAATATGACAACCAGTTACATCTAGCAAACTTGGAAAGAAAACAAAGTGGTAGTTTGCGGAGGACGAGCTTGCTAGGCTCTCATCTAGAGTGTCTACTCAATCGGATACTCAACTTAAATATAGAAGAAAAGCTGCAGAGTTTAACAGGTTTTTTGAGTATCTGATAATTTCGACAGTGATTAAATACGACATTGAATCCAGTTGGGAAAAAGACAACGCTTATTGAGGGCTTTCGAAACATAAATGATTTACCTTGATCGGATCACACTGTCGAATTTATTCACTGACGAAAATCTAGGAAAACAGTGAAAGAAGAGAGAAATAGTTCATTGAATTTAGTCACTGTCGAAATTATATAGCTTTGTGTATCCAGACGAGATAAAATTTCCTTTTTAGAAATGGCAGATACCAAGATGGCCGTCTAATGATTATGCTTCTAAATAAATACTTTTTATGGTAAAATGTTTAAAATATTTATTTTGTTTATTTTTGTTGTATAAAATGTTTCGTTTTTTGATTTCCGGACAATGCGTCAGTACAATGTGCTGTGGACTATCGGTCAGTGGCGCAGTGATGCATATCGAAGGATTTGGAAGAATATAAGGACAATTTGGAGTGATTAAGAAGGATATCGGAGGATTTGTAGAGATTAAGAGATTTTGAGGTGAAACCGAGTGATTTGTGAGGGGGTCTGGGACTCCCGTACAATGCGTCAGTTTTTGCTGTTTATGTATCTTAAGTTTTGGACTTTTTGACGCTGCGAAGCGCGTAGCCGTTAGGGCGAATCAAAAGACCCCCTAACAAATCACTATACCTCAAAATTCTCTTAATTCCATAAATCCGCCGATATCTCTCTTAATCCCTTCAAATTGCCCTTTATATCCCATAATCCTCCGTATACTTAACCTACAGGTTTTCCAATTACGCATTGTCCGGGCATGTGTTTTTTGTAGTGTTTTGGAAAATTTAGCACTTCTGCTGATAGAAAAAATGAAAAAAGAAAATATGTAGCTAGAGATAAGTATCGTAAGTTTTGGTAGGTTCAGTAATCATTTTGAGAGCGAACTAGCAAAAATGCAAAATTTTGGATTGATTTAACATCGATTGGATTGATTTTGTCGATTATCTATTTGGATATAGTGTAGTGTACCGGTGGTAAAAGTTCGGGACGTGACATATGTCATTCGATTCGTCTCGACGAGCTGAGTCGAATGGTACCACTCCCTACTTTAGGAAATGATTCTGGACCGAGTTATAGGTCCCGAAAAATTGAAAAACCATAGGGGGGAGTAAGCTCGATTTTGGAGTGAAAAATTCGAATATGCAAATAATAGCTCATTCGAAAGAGCTCGTCGAGCTGAGTCGAATGACACCAAAATCAGCTTGATTGAACAAGTTGGAGTCGAGATATAGGGCTCGAAACGGTCAAAAACCATAGGGCGGATTTTAGGGTCAAAAATTCGAAAAAGCATATAATAGCTCATTCGAAAGAGCTCGTCGAGCTGAGTCGAATGACATCAAAATCAGCTTGATTGTAAAAGTTTGGACAAAGTTACAATAGAAAAGTAAACAACATAAACCTATGGGGCGTCGGCGAGGCGCTTGTGCAAAACCCCGCGCTTCGCGCGGGGTTTTGCGGCACGCGCCTCGCGGGGAGTCTACGGGCGATGGGTCTGGGCTCGTAACATAAACCTATTCCTAACTCCCTTGCTTTGGACGTATTTGGGGCCTCCGTAGCAGCAAAAATCTCCACAGATGCCATAGGTAAGGAGCTAAAACAAACGATCATAACTTTGTCAAATCAAGTCAGATTTCGTTGATTTTGGTGTCATTCGACTCAGCTCGACGAGCTCTTTCGAATGAGCTATTATTTGCATATTCGAATTTTTCACCCCAAAATCGAGCTTACTCCCCCCTTTGGTTTTTCAATTTTTCGGGACCTATAACTCGGTCCAGAATCATTTCCTAAAATAGGGAGTGGTACCATTCGACTCAGCTCATCGAGACGAATCGAATGACATATGTCACATCCCGAACTTTTACCACCGGTACACTACACTACAGCCATCTATTTTATTGATTAGTACTATTTGTGAAAAATAGAACATATTTGAAATAAATATTTATACAGTATTCAGTAAACTCGAATTCATCTTGCACTCAACCGTCCTTTATTTTTTTGGTGGATAAAGTGGCTACCCTACAACTCATCGAATCCTTAACTCATCGAATCCTCAACTCATCGAATCGGCCAAAAACACTCAACTCATCGAATCCTTAACTCATCGAATCCTCAACTCATCGAATCGGCCAAAAACGATCAACTCATCGAATTTTTCCAAAAGGGGACGTTTGAGTCCCCGTGTTTATTTTTTAGATTTTTTATTGTTTTGTTTATTTTTTTTTGTTTTCTTCTGGGGTTTCAACTAATTTTGTTAATTAGTTGATCGGGCACTCATCCAAGTTTATCCGGCCAGTGAAAACATTATCAGAACATTATCTCATTCCTGAAAACATTATCTCATTCCTAATAAATTATGCTGGAGATTTTACCGGGTAAAACCGGACCAAATTAGTCCATTAGACCCCGATTATGCCCAAAAGCCCTTTTTCCTAGCCTCCATAGCAGCAAAAAATTTTTTCAACGAAGATTCAGTTAGCCCTTTCGGGAGAAAAATAAAAACAGGGGACTCAAACGTTCCCTTTTGGAAAAATTCGATGAGTTGATCGTTTTTGGCCGATTCGATGAGTTGAGGATTCGATGAGTTAAGGATTCGATGAGTTGAGTGTTTTTGGCCGATTCGATGAGTTAAGGAATTTTAGCCGATTCGATGAGTTGAGCGTTTTTGGTCGATTCGATGAGTTAAGGATTCGATGAGTTGAGCGGGCACGGATAAAGTGTCATTTAATTGGCGCATGATACATTACGCCACAATTTGCAAAATTTTAAATCTCAAATTTCGCTAAAAGTGATCGTTTTGGGATAAAATGTCATTCATTTGAAGCACACTACAATACACCAAAATTATGCTATCTTCTAAATTGAAATAAATCTCAAATTTCCCATAAAAATTCATTTTACAGATTTTTTTGTGACAAAATAAACGGCTTTTTGTTGTTTATCAACACTTTGAAGAATTAAATGTTCAAAAAATTTAAAGCTTATTCTATTCTGATTTCTTAAGTCAAATTTTAGATTAATTTTTTGTTTTCTAATTCTGATACAGTAACCAGTTCGTTCTCAAAAGGGGCACTGAACCGATTATGAACGTCTATGATACATAAGAGACAAAACGATACCTGGTAGAAATCCGACAAAAAGGAACATAGAAGAAATCCGACAAAATGGAACAAAGGAGAAGTCCGACAAAATGACACATTGTGGAAGGTCCGACAAAATGGTACATATGGAAGGGCCGACAAAATGGTACATATAGGAGAAGCCAACAAAATGGGACATAGAAGAAATCCGACAAAATGGAACATAGGGGAAGACCTATTATTCGATCATTTTCTGTCGAGAAACCTGTAATTTTTTAAAAATTTGTATTATATCAAATTTGGCAAAAAACAATTTAACCGAGGTCTCGTATTTACAAGGCTAAAAAGGATAAACATTTTTTAACAGATTTGATGGCTTTATTTTAATAAAAAATAATAATATATATATTCCACCATGCTAAATAAAAAAATTAACGAATTTTGAAAAAAATAGACGAAATATATAAAATGTCTGGTTTTTAAATAAAAATCTAACAAATCTAAACAAAGAAAATTTCTAAAAAGAAAAAAGAGGATCGGCAAATGAGATGGAGAAGGGAGGCAAATTTATAAAAGATATAAACAATCAAAATAAAATTAACTAGCAAGAAAAAAAAACTACACAAAAAACAAGACAGAAAACACAGCAAAAATAAAATTTTGATGTGTGGCCACTTATTTTTTTCAAAAAATTTTTCATAATTTTTTTAGTTTTTGGCGCACAAAACTCTTTTTTAAAGTTTTGTTGGCGTCCTCGTTCTAAGCCCATTTTTTAGAGAAAAATAGAGAAAAAGGGAACCCAGGTTCCGAAAAATCAAAAAAAAAATTAATTTTTAGAACAAATGGTCACTCCTTGAAATAAATCTTTTTAAATAATACAGGTATCCGTTTACTATAAGAAGAAAAAGGGACAATTAAAATGAGGAAAAATTTAGACAGAAAATTAAAATTAGAAAAAAGGGGACGAAAAAATTAGTAAAATGAAAAAAAAATTATTTTAGAAAGATGGGCATTAAAAAATTTTTGTTGTTGTCAAAATTAAAAAAAAATAGACAGCGGCCAGAAGCCAATTTTCTAGAGTTTTGTTGGCAGAGAAGAAATTAATATTTATATAAATTGATTGTTTAAAAACCCTCATCCCAGCCGCTGAAAATTAAAAAAAAAATTTAATTTAATCCAAAAAAAATTATTTTTCTTACCTAAACTCGTCTGGGGGAATGTCCTCATCTGGTGGGTAATTGTCAAAGTTTGAAACGTCTGCTGGATTGCTGACTTTCTGTAAAAATATTTTTAAAGCTGTCTAAAATTTTTTAGAACAAATTTTGAAAAAAATTTCGGAAAAAAATTTTTCAAAAATTTCAAAAAAATTTTTTAAAAAATTTCAACAAGTTCGGAAAAATATGCTCAAAAATTAAAAAAAAAAATTTTTTTTTAATTTTGAGAAAAATTTTTTGAAAAAAATTTCGGAAAATTATTTCAAAAATTTTTATTTTAAAATTTTATCCAAAACCCACAGGTATAATTGGAGGTTTCAACGTCCTCGTTCTAAGCCCCTCCCAATCAAAGCCCATAAACCATCTATGTTTCCGTATATCATTAACACCTCCACTACCAGAACCAAGCCTTTCTGCCGGGTTATCTCTACAAAGTTTATTAACGAGTGCTGTAGCTGTTTTGCCAATTCTTCTGTTTGGGATTTCTAAAGCGTCAATTCCCTATAAAAGAAAAAAATTAAAAAAATTCATCTCGAGGTCTTGAGGTTTTCACCCTCGCGGGCATATTTAGGGTCACATCCTTTTTCAATCCTACCCAATTTAAATAATTATCATACCAATCGAAAGCTCTGGATGTAAAGAGATTATTTTATTTAACAGGATTGACTTGATTAGATCAGCCTATCTAAAGTTAGAGTAAAATAAGTAGGATGATAACTAAGTAGATCTTATCAAGTAAAGATCTGTTATCTGATTTGAAAATTAAAGATCCTGTCCTTTATTTTAACTAAAATAATTCAAACATTCAAAGCTTTTGATCTAGAGATCTGAAATTTTGAAAAGCCTGGACCTGTTCCTGGACTCTGGAGTTTGATTTCTTGACCTGGACTGGATCTTGGGCCTGTAGTCCAGGAAAAACCCAGCCCCAGGAAAAACCCAGGAAGGTCAAAAAATGTCTGGACCTAGACTCTGGGTACAGGAAAAACCCAGGCCTTGGTCCAGACCCAGCTCGATCTCTATTTTGATCAGTTTGATGAAAGAGAACAAAAAATATCCGCGCACCTTCAATATAAGCGTGTAAGTCTTCATTGGATCAGATGCTTGGAAGGGAGGTCTACCCAACATTAATTCACATATATAAATTCCCAAAGCCCAATAATCTGCTGCTTGATCATGCCCTTTATTTAAAATAATTTCGGGAGAAACATATTCTGGTGTTCCACAGAAAGTCCAAGTTTTTCTTCCGCTTGCCAATTTTTTGGCAAAACCAAAATCAACAATTTTTAGGTAACCAGAGGTTGCTATAAAATTAAATTTTATTGAATGAAGTCAAAAACTCATTATGAAAGTAACCCTCTTCGGTGCTAAAATGATTTATACCTTATACGAAGTGTATATTAAACAGAGATGTATTTATTTATTTAAGGTATTTGTGTATGTATCACGGGAAAAGACCTAGGTTTACCCGATACCCGGTCTTTTTCAACCTGAAACCCGACCTATCACTGATATGATTGATGGGCCTCCCTCCCCCCCAAAAAAGCCAACCACAAGTTAAATAAAAGTGTAGCTTTATGGGTATCTTACAATGGTGGTTAATGGTCTTAAATTAAAAAAAAATTTTTTTAACTCACTTAAAAGACAATTTTCAGGCTTCAAATCTCTATAAACAATATTCCTTCTATGCAAAAATTCTAATCCTTCCAAAACACAAGCTACATAGAATCGAGCTGTGTAATCATCAAAATGCCCACGATCACGAAGTGTTGTCTTAAAAAGAAATTATTAAAAATCCGCAACTTGAGTCCGCAAAAATTTTTTTGTCCGCAACTTTAGTCCGCAAATATTAAAAAAAATTTTTTCTAATTATTACCCAAAGTTCTCCACCCAAACAAGCTTCTAGCAACATATAAACATATTTTGAATCTCTAAATGTTTTGTAAAGCCTAACAATCCAATCAGAACGTGTTTCAAGCATTATATTACGTTCAGCAAAAATATGTTCTTGTTGTCTAGTATCCACAATATGTTTTTTCTTTAATGCTTTTAATGCAAATGTTCGACTTTTGTCAGCATTTATACAGACCTTTGAAATAAAATTAATATTTTTTTAAATTCAATTTTATTAAAAATTAAACGGGAAAAACCCTTTCAGAATCATAGTTTCAGTCATCTCAAGGCCCATATTTTGGGTCATAACTTTTTTCAATCTTTACCGATTTAAATGATTTATGAAGCAATCGAAAGCTATAGATGTGAGGATTATTTAAGCTAACAAGATTGAATTGATCAGATCATTCTACTAAAAGTTGTAGTCGAATAAGTGTGCGCAATCGTGATTTTTGAGCTTTAACCGGCTGTAACTTGAAGTAGAATGATGATCGAGCCATTCCTGTTAGATACAATAATCCTCTCATTCAGAGCTTTCGATTGATATATAAATTATTGAAATCTGTTAAGGATTAAAAAAGTTGTGGACCAAAATACGGCCTCGAGAAAGACCATATTTTGGGCCTTTCTAGAGGCTAAAGCCCAGAAATAATAATTTTTTAAAATTATTATTGAAATTTCTTCTCACCAATTCAACACGCCCAAATCCACCCACTCCAAGCGTAGCAATTCTCTTCAATTGTCTCAATTGTAACTGTACAAATTCATCTTCAATTTCAGATTTTGGAGGGCTAGGAGCTTCTGGGGGCCTTCCCCCATCAATTAAAGTTCTGGCAGAGGAAAGTGTAGACCTTCTCTGTAAATCCCCGTAATCCTTGTTCCTCAAAGCATCCAAATCTCCAATTAATTTTAAAAAACTTTCTCTATCCAAAGTTAATACTTCCACGCCTGGAGGCATTGCAATAACGTTAGCGGTACGTACTTCTTCTCCTATAATAAAATAAATTAATTATTAGAAATTCTGATTTTTTATATTTAAAAAGAAGGGAGGTATATATTTGGGGTAAAGAATCATTAAAGAAATATTCTGATTTTTAAAAGAAAAATTCTGATGTTTTAAAGAAAAATTCTGACTGTTTAAAGAAAAAATTCTGATTTTATAAGGAAGAAATTCTGGTTTCTGAAAGAAAAATTCTGATTTTTAAGGAAGAAATTCTGGTTTCTGAAAGAAAAATTCTGATTTCTAAGAATAAATTCTGGTTTTTAAAGTCTAAAATTCTGATTTTTTAAAAATAAAATTCTGACTATTTAAAGGAAATATTTTTGTTTTTCTGATGCGGAGTCTTATAAAAAGTCTGATTTAAAAAATTCTGATAATACATTTAAAAAGCATTAAAAAATCAGAAAATAAATTCTTAAAATTATTTTAAAAATCAGAACTAAATTAAAAAAATATTTCAGAAATATTTTTAAAAAAATTAAAAATCAGAATTTAATTTTAGAAAATAAATGTAATAATTAAAATACCCAAATAAATAAATTTAAAAAATAAAAATAATTTTTAAATTTATTTAATAGTCTCGTTATTTAAATATATATTTTAATCTCTCTATCATAAATATAAAACACAAACTTCAAAAATTTGAATTTTAAAAAAAATAAAAAAAATCCTCCCTCCCCTCACCCATTCCCTTCCCCTCCTCCCTCCCAGTATATTTAACAGACAATTAAAAAAAAATTATTTTTTTTTCATAATTTTTTCCTGAATTCTATTTATTGTTTATTAGACTTTTCTGATAATGTGTGTCTGTGTTTTATATATTTTTAAAAAAAAATTAAAATTTTTTCTAAACTAATGTTTGCTTGTTTCACTAGACACTAAACTTTTTGTTTATTTGTTTTAATCATTTTTTGAATAATAAATTATAGTAAAAAGAAAAGAAAAGTGTAAATCCGCCGCAAAAATTATATTAAAAAAAATTATTATTTTGTTAAAGTTCAGAAAAAAATTTTTTTTAAATCTCTCATCATTTCCGGTAGAGAGGGAGAGGAGGTTAAATGATTAGGTTATAAACAGAATTTTTTCGAAGGGAGACAAATCGGAAAACACCATAAAAAAT